GGGGGGGGGGTTCTCCTAAACTTCACAAAGAGTAAGGATGAGCTACAAATGGACTAAAAAAAACTCAGTTTTCTTTCTTATTCTCTGGTGTTACTAAATTAAGCTGATCAGCTCTGAAACTGTGATGTGAAAACATTATTTCAGCTCAAACAGCACAGAAAGAACACTGAAATAAAAACCATTCAGTCACTGACAGAGCACACATCTTGGTTTGGTAACATGAATAAAGTGAGCTGAATCATACCTAGAACTGCTGACATCCTCTTGTCATCAGTCATCCACACAAACTCTACCATTACTAATCACAACAAACATCTCCAGGCACAGCAAATTTCTTTCGTCTTACTCACACCGAGTGCTGATGAGAAATTGCAAAGCGTGTTTAGTCTTAGCTTTGACAGTATTAGGAGAGTGAACCAACATTATGCACATCACTATTTCATATTCAGGGAGGGGTCCAATGACACCTTGTCCTCTGCTTTCCAAAAGGCCTTAACTCAGCACATCGCCATCCCCTTAGACCCAGATGTAAAGTGAACAGTCCTCACCTATGTGACATCAGATGCCACAATATGCTGTCTTATGGGAGCAAGCTGTCACAGAGGACTGCCAAGCTCCAGGGCTACTGCAGCCAAAAATCCAGGAAGAACGAATGACAAAGGTGGGAGGAAAGGAAACATAAATGTTTTAAAGTTTTTACTTTAAATCTCAGTTCATCAATATTTTTATATTTAGCCTAGACATAGTCAAATGTATGATGACTGTATGATGATCTCATACTGATGAGAACTACAGAGCTTTGCAGGTTTTTTTAGTTCACTGTTTTGTCCGGAGGCAAAGGACCAAAATGGTCACATCACAGAGTGCAGGGTTTGACCATGACTTAGAGGCATAGGAAGAAGCCAGCACCAGTAGGTTACTGCAACCGGAAGCTAAGAGCAGCATATGGAGATGTGGAAAGGATCGTAGCTAGAATAAACTTTGTCTAAACCAGTCATAGCCTGAAACACAACTTAGGCACACCTGTGAGCGAACACTCAAATGTTTCAAATCCTTACAATCTGACACCATTTGGAGCTTCCCACTGCTTAAACACAACTCAGAGATAAGCCTTTAACCCTGCAGATAGCGGTCATGTAACCACTTTGAACTGAACTTAAAAACTGGAAGATACCGTCAAGATGAAGGCAAAGTGAACCTCAGACACAGTAATGACAGAGTGACAGACAGGTTTTTGCTGACTCCACATCGTCTCACTTTAGGTCACCGTCTAGCCGGCGTGGTATTCCTTTCCTATGTACATGTATCAAAAACACTGATGAATAACACAGATGGAGGACAAATGAGTCATTTGAGTTGTATGGCTATGGCATATACACATCATTGTCTGCACTGGTGTGGGTTTTAGGGGTCTCCTGTTAGCATTCCTACCCAAATGACTACCCCGCATATGACTCATAGTCTTGTTACCCCCAGACGAAGCAGAGTTTAGTTTGCTGGCTTGTCGGTGTGCCGTACTTGGGAAGTCTGACAGGATGCTGCTTAGTAGTTGGGGTTTGTCTGACTCTGTCTAGCCAGTCTTAAGCGGTCTGACTGTGTGTATGTGGTCAGATGGTCAAGTCTGTCTGTAAAACTGATAAAATCAAGTTTTGTAAAAACAAGAGTCACCTGATCACCACAAAAAGTTAAGCATAACTCAAGTATAGACACCAGGAATCTAACCTGAATTACAGAAGAAAGGGGTCATATTTGTCCGCATGGCTACCAGCATGTGTTTTTATTTTCATCGTGCATTCTGAAGCTGCATTCCATTTCCGTGTGTTACGCGGGACGGAGAGATTGCCCAAGAGTGACTCACTAAAACCTGACCCAGTGGTGAGGTAATCGCTGCAGGACGCGCGGAGTAAAAGTGAACTTTGTCTGGGACAATGTCTAGGAATCCCCAGACTACTACAATACAATATATACGTGTATGGTATGTGTGTGTTACGACATCATTTCTGCCTTCTTTTTCTAGATTTCTGATAAGACCAGGAAGAACACCAAAAGGAAGAATGGAAGAACAACTGCAGAAGTGTTTAATGAGGAGGAGTTCAAATATAGGTCATCCAATTTAAAGTAGGTCAGCTGATGCAGTCACACATCTGTTTTTCAAAATTTTTAAAACTTGTTCAATCATTCATTTAGCAGAAATAACATTCTAACAAAATGTGACAGAAATCTTTGTAATAATATTTTATGACAAATTTAGTTAACTTATAAACACTGTAGCAGAATATCTAAAGCCATGAACATTAAAGTTTGTCTTAAGCTTTAAATATACATTTTAATACAACATGATCCTCTTGAAATGTTGAATTTATCTGCTCTTGTGCATGTATACAAACACAGACAGCACCACATTGTTTGTTAAGCAGCATCACCTGCTGGCTTAATGGAGAACTGCCAACATGATAGTAATCACTAAAGAATAAGACAGAAAAGGCACCAACAAAGAACCTGAACAAAGAACCAAATGTTCAGTTTAGAGTAGGTTGTAAACTGATCCAATTTACCTAGAGAAAGGAACTATTAATAAGCCTAATCAAGTAAAGAAGCACTGCAGTGTAACACAAACTGGAAAATGATCTACTGAAACATTCACAAGAACAAAGATCACAAAACAAAAGACAAAGGTTTTGGGAAAATGACTTGTGTGGTGTCACAAGCCTGTGGGAAGCTGACTCAGGGACAACCAGAGACTTGGGTGCTTGTCTTAAAAATAGTTTCACAGTGGATAAAAAAAAATCTTGGACTATACAAAAAGCCCAAACACCCACTTTGGGTTTGGACCATCCACACGTCACTGAGCCAACCTAGGAAGGAATGAAGACGTTTCAGCAAGAGAATGGAGTGAAAAGCAAAAACTCTTAATAAGACCAAAATAAAATAGACAACAACTGCTCAGAACAACATAGAGGCTTAAAATATTCACCTGCTCAAACAGCACAACGGAACTTTACTGCAACTGATAGCTTGACTATGTGCAAATTCAAGCCCATTCTAATGAAGCTGCAAATGAAACTGTGAAATGAAACTTAAAACCAAGAATCAAAAAAAGTAAAAAAATCTACATTCTGCACTGGTCATAGATATGATGATGTAAAAACACATCATATTAAGCTTGATAAAGACATCAGATGGTGCACGATCATGTATAAAACATTGATTAACACTGTTCTAACAAAACATGCACTATAAATATACCTCACATTCATCTCTAATCTCCAGCAAACTAGCAAAATAGATCAAAAAAGTTTTAATATAGTACACACAAGTACCTGGACAACCTGGAAATACCAAATATTTACCAAAGTCTGGTCAATATAGCTATGCAAACTTGTGGGCCAAAGAAACATGTAATACCAGAAATGTTTGGGAACGCGGCCTCCAGTGTTTGAGTGAGCTTAGACCTAAAACAGATCTGAGAAAAGCAGCTATGCTCTATGAAGAGAGATAAAACAGACTGTGAAAAGGGGGGGGGGAATCAAAAGATAAAGTAACTTAAGGGCTTGCAAATAAACCTTCAGACAGTAAAGAAAAATGAATTGTGTGCAGCTGGTGGTTTGCAGAGGGCATGATAAAATCTGCCTGCACAGAGAAGAAACTAGTTCTTTTGAACTGTAATGAAACCATGTGGCCAGAATGTGACATTTGAAAGGATTTTCTGTAATTTGAGAGCAGCCTCTGACAACAGGATTTGTCTCATATTTGGTAAGAAGAACCAGCTGACGAAATGCAGACAAAAGATTTAATTGTGAATTACCATGAATTACCATGAGTTGCTGTTATATACAAAAGCAACAAATCCTTTGATTGTCATTTTTAAAGTCGCTACCACAGACACATTATATTTTAGCTAATAGTTATCATTTATGCTTAAGTTACAGAGAGCATTAATGTATAAACTTTACAAGTTTATGCACCAACATTATAGGCCTGTATCAAGTTCTAAATTTGTGTTATGTTGGTCAACATCTGCCTTTACACCCTTCTTGACAATCAAATGAAAGAGTCAGGCTTTTATGGTTCATAGAGAGTAAATGTCTTAACAACATAATGTCATTTAAAAGAAACAAGCAATAAGGATTTAATGAGAGGAAAGAGGGAATTTCTTCCACTCAAGACACTATCAGATAAATAGAGGACTGCTAATGCCACAACTTGCCACTAGAGGTCGCAGGACCCAGGCCACCAACATGCAGGAGACAACCAGAAGAAATGCTTCTAAAATCCCAATTGACTTTAGGTTACTATTAAAACATTTAACACAAAAACATCCGAGAAAACTCCAACACCTGATATTAACACCACTTCAGATCCTTTAATAAACAAAAGATGACGAGAATATTAAAACTGCAGCTTCATTACTTTAAACGAATCCTCATATAAACGACGTGGCCTGAAAATAAAACAGTAGGCTCTCATATGTTTATTAATCGCAGCTGAAGTCTGGTGAATCGTAACGACTTGCGGTATGTTTGGGGCTCTCCTGCGGTCCCTCCTCCATCAAACGTCAGAAACTAACCGTATTAAAACGCGTGAAGCCGCTCGAACTCGCATATACCTCGTTAACCCGACAGCCTGCGGTCTGCCTCCTCAGAGACAATAAAGAGACTCTAGAGTTTAATGACACAGAAAAGTGGACACATATGCCAAGCTGTGGGGCGACTTGGGCGACTACTGGACAAGAATGCATCAGAAACGTGTCTGTTTCTACAGAGATATTTGTGCTGGATTAATCTGATACAGGCCGGAGAGTTTCTGTTTTTCGAGGCTATGAATTGAGTAAAGTCTGATGGGCAAACACAAACTTGGATTTCTGCTGATAACAAAAGGGACTGCCCCAAGAAAACGAATTAAGTGAGGAGGATTTCAATTTTAAATTCCAAGGAAGTTTTAAAAAAAAACTGCTGCAGGGCGTAAAAGATTTATTTGAAGGTTAACTCGTCTTCGCCTGTGAATCTGCACATAACTACGCAGTGAACCAAATGCAGAGAGAAAGATGCATTTGGGTAAGGCTTTACTGTTTGTCCTCCTTCTCAACTGCGCAACTCTGAGCTCATCTCTGTCAACTTGTGCCACCGTGGATATTGACCATGTGAAAAGGAAGAGGGTCGAAGCGATACGAGGTCAGATTTTGAGCAAACTCCGGCTCACAAGTCCTCCGCACTCCCTCGGACCGAGTAAAATCCCGTATGACATCCAAGCACTGTATAACAGCACCAAGGAGCTACTGGAGGAGCTTGGGAGGAATCGGCAGCAAAGTTGTGGTCAGGACAACACAGAGACAGAGTACTATGCCAAAGAGATATACAGATTCAACATGGTCTATGGACCGCCAGAGAGCAGTAAGTATAGTCTAATAATTATTCAGTGATTCAGGTTTGTATCCGATTTTATTTTTACTGCTCGCAATTAACGCGTTCTTAGTGCGTAATTACGCACCAAATGCAGGGTGCACGCCCATACCGGTGGCAGTCAGACGCCACAGGTTTGAGTGTTGTCAAAACTACAGCCAGTTTCTATGCTATTAATCAGTGGTGCTTATAGGTTGTAGTTCAGAAACTCTGGTTGAGCTGCAGCACACAAAGATCCCTTACATACAAGAGACATACTGTACACAAAAATACAATGCTTAAAAATATTTTGTGCCTGACATGGTTTTCACTTATCTTTGTAAAAAAAAAAAAAAATCCATAAAATGACATCCATCACTTCTTATAAATAAATCAATGAATATATTGTTTTTCATTTGAAAAGCATAAAGGCTGAACATAAGATGTTTCCTACTTTCACAATAAAGTCCATTTTCATTCCACATCACACTTATGTTCTTAAGTTCTCTAAACTAGTTGTAACATAATCAGGTAGCATGTATTAAATGTATTAGACTGAGATTTTCAACTCCAACTTTTCATATGTATGTAAAAACATTCTTCGAGTGTCAAACTCTGAAAATACACCGTTCTGAACAGTGAAATCCAAACATCCAAGTGAAGTAACAATAAGCAACGCAGATTTCTAAGAGGAAGGGGGATAATAAAAAAAAAAGTGTGTCTGTGTCGGAGCACTTTGTGATTTGTAAAACTGGAAGGTGAGCCTGCTGTGCACCTGGCTTTCTTACTGTAGTACTCACCAGCCTGTTTTAACCCTGCACCAGTGCTTTAAGAAAGTCGCTCTTCTTCGACTCCTGACTGCACTCTTCCTCCTCTTGTTTTTTCCTCTATGGATCTGTCCCTCTGTTCATATGCTCCCAGTTCCTTTCCAGTCAGGCCCAATTAAAAGGGACAGCTGCCCTGTCACTTGGGGAAGCCTTTAGGAGCAGGAAAAGTTAACAAAAGGTTAGATGCTGCTGGTGTCCCTCTCTTCACTGAAGTCTGTCTGAACAGGAGGAGTGAGGTCCCATGAAGCCCTCCATTACACGGACACATTACCATGGAGCTTAAGTTGACCCCACTGCCTCTTGGGGCCTGTGGATTACCGACATGGGTGGCCTGTGAGCATGAGATCACTCACTGCAGCACTCTGGTTTAACTTCACTAAATTGAGTGTGAAAATGAGCTAGCATCATTCCCTCTAAACCTGAATGACTCCACTGTGTCGTCATTTTATTGGCAGTGGGTAAAATTGGGCAACATTACACCTGAACACACCTGAACAACAATGAGCTTTATTTTTTTAGATATATTTGTTACTTAATAGTAAAGGCCTGTTGTGAGCTGAATAATTTGAGCTCAGTCTCTCTTTGGCACAGCAGTTCCCTGTATAGAATTAAAAACTATGAACTAGAAGTGGAAACCTGGTGGAAGAGGAACATGTGTCAGTACTTGAGGAAAAGGCATACAGCTTATCCAGAAAGTAACATAGGATATATGCTGTGTGAATGAAAACCAGAGAGCAAAGCCGAGATCACTGCACAACAACAGGTGTTTCTCTAAAGCATAAATGTCAAATCAACACATAGACAAAGTACCTGTGTGTGCACATACACAGGTATATACAACAAAATGTTAAAGACAGATTACAGAAATTGTCTTACAAGTGAAAATGCAACAGGATGTTGTTTCTCTTCCATCCTGCCCCCCTCCATACAGCCCTTCTGTTGTTATTCCAGTCTCTCAACCCTGTATCTTCAAAAGTAAGTAAGAGTAAGTGTTTTCTCATCTGACACCCCCATAGGACAGCATTGTTTGTCTTTTAATTACTTCTAAGATACACTATAACTAGCCATGTATTTGTATATTTACACTTTGATACCAGGCTTTACCTCACGTTAAAGTTGATGATGCCACCTGAAGAATTATGTTCTTCCACTAAAGGTGTGGATATCTACATTTAACAAGTGCTCTTTTCCAAGAAAATGTTCTGACAAACTGAGGAATTTGTCCCTGCCAAGTGAAGAACGTGGATTTTGTTACCTTCAAACAGACAGTCTGTTTCCCCTGTTTACGGTCTTTGTGCTAACCTAACCTAACTGGCTGCTACCCGTAGCTTCGTATGTATTGTACAGGCATAAGAGTGATACTAGTGTTGTCATCTGAATTTCCACATAAAGGGAATCAGTGTCTTTCCAAAATAGCAAACTGCTCCTTCAAGATCAGGTAGAAATGGTAGACTGTGAGTGAAGCCAGTGGTTATGAAGACAGCCACCTGTCTATAGGGTGCTGCCCCTTGTGGTCTCGGTCTAATAATTGTTTTTCAACTTCTCCTGCTGAGTCGAAGCGTGTGCGACAGAGCCAACATGGAGCCATTGGTGCTAGGCATTATTTTAACCCCACATCAGAAGGCCAAGTGAGAGACTCCTTGTTACAGTGAAAGTACAGATAAAAAGTGAATGCTGACTGCAAGGACATTCCCTGGGCGCAACCTTTCAGCCAATCATGTTCCTTGATGAGCCAGCTTTGTTGAAGGAGGAGCTCAGCCCCACTCAGCCCTGGGTGGGAGCAGGGCTGGCTGAGCCCGAGCCAGCATTATTACCCACTGCTGTTTGAAACGGAGGCCAACCTGTTCTCGCCCGGCTCTGTACAATCAAAGCAGCTTAATTGTGCTAATGTTAAAATGCCTTGACAGGACCCGTGTGCTGGCTTTGTGTAATCACTCTTAGACTTGCAACAATGTGGGAAAATACACCCTCCCCTTCTCACAGTTTTTGAAGGTAAACTGTTGACCTCTGTGAACCAACACAAATCTGTGACAGGTGCAAATGAAGCAGAAAGCTGCTGGATGACTGGCAGCTCACTTGAGAAGCTGGACAGCAAACATCAGAAAGATTTCCATTTATAGCATGGCACACATGCAGAATCTGGCACATGTCAATGACAGCCAATGACTTGTGGAGAAGTCATCGTGGTTCAGAAGGGGTTTGGGTCCAAAACATTGCCAGTGGGACCCAGGATATGAGGGTTTTTGATATGCAAATACCAGGGAGGTGAAGTCATGCTAAATTCAATATTATTGCTTTTTCTATTACAGCATTTTCATTTGCTCCAAATATAGACAAAATGTGCTGGAAAAACACTGAGGAAATTTGATAAGACAGTTAACAACACTAGTCATTTCAGTGTGGGCTGATAAACTTAGGCTCAGCCGTTAACCAAAGTTCATATTTTAGGTCTGAATGGGTCTAGATGTCTTCACTATATAGAAAACAATCACCAAGTCATTATTTTCATATTCATGTAGGGCTTTATTTCAACATATCTGAAGCTATATGAAGTGTCAACAAATGAAAGAACAACTATGACCGCTGACTGCATATAAAAACTGGACAAACCCACTGTGACGTCACCCACAGCGGTTTTGAAGCTCAAGTCTGACTGTCGCCATATTGGTAGCACTACACTCCACCTGCTACGTCTAATCCAAAAATAGGCATAGAGGCAGGGCATGAGTAGAGCTCTCTAGAAAACTAGCGGCCAGCCACTTATGGCGGGACCATCCTATCTGTAAATCAATGTGGCCATGCCCTTAATTGTGCATACATTTTACCCTTAATATAATTTAAACGGATGAGTTATAAAAAATAAATTCACCCCTGTAAAGTTGTCATGGAAGGGGAAATTAGCTATAGAGGTCAGAAATTTTCATGTACCAGGCTTTAAGCATGTTTATTTCTGCTGTAAAGTTGGGCATTTTAACATGGGAGTCTATGGGGATTGATTCCATTTTAGAGCCTCAAGTGGCCATTCGAGGAACTGCAGGCTTTGGCACTTCTGTCTCAGGGTTGGAGGGTGCTGCTTGACTATGGCATTGCCATCTAGAGTCTGAAATGAAGTTTTCTGCCAGCCCAGTTTGTGATATCAGTTAACAGTTGGAACATTGGCTGACACTACTTTGGCATCAAGTGGATAAACGTCTGATCCAGCTACACTTCTCTCACAATAAGTGACGCAGCCAGAAAAGTATCTTTCAGATTGAGTTGTGAATGGAGACGGGCTGAAACAATCAGGGTTATTAACTGGGCCTGAGTCAAGTAATCGTTTCATCAGTTAGCTGTGGAGAGAAAAATAATTCAGCACTTATACTCTGATAAACTCTGACTTTTTTTTACACATTTATTAGACTTAACTAGTTAGTTAATGGGAAAACATAATTGGGAGATTAATCAAGAATAAAAATAATCATTAGTTGTAGCCCTAATATTAATTTTTAAATGTTTAATAACTGCTTCTATTCCTTCTATTTTTACAAATATTTTGTCATGTCACAGTTTCCATTGTCAAGTTGAAACATGAGTGTTTAGATGTGCAACTAAATTAGTAGTCTGTGTTTTATGGTGACACGTAAAATTCTGTGTTATTAATTTTGAATGGCTTCTTATAAAAGCAGAAAATGGGAAATTACACAGTATCAAGGTTTAAGATTTTTTAATTGGATTAGTAATTTTTATTAATAATTATACATAGATTGTGGCTGTTGATGCTCGTCAGACAAATATCAAATAGATTTTTCACATACATAACTCACCAAGTCAACTTTTATAGGGCATTTTTAGAGTTATGTTGTCATGTCACAGCAGGAAAAGCACAGGTGTAAATAATAAAATTAAATTCCACTTAACTTCTTCAGTTTCAGGGTCCTATTATTGTGCATGCTGGCTCACTGGTGCACTGTCTTGACTTACACTTGAATAGAATCTAATGTAATAAAGTTAATGCTAGCAGTAACACCTGGGCTTTTCTTTCTATAAGTCAAAATGTCTTCTGTGTAAAAGGTTTACATCTGAGAAACTGTTCATTTCAATATGCACGAGGCCAAAGTAAGTGAGTGTGATTATGTAGATGAGCTGTAGCAGTTGATGTCTGTGTCTGGACATAACACTGCTGGTTCCTGATTAGATTTTCTTAGCCTGCTCTTACACTAAATTTTATTCTCTCTATTCCAGATGATTTGCCCTACTGCCCAAAGGGCATCACCTCAAAGGTTTTCCGCTTCAGCGTCTCTTCCATGGAAAGGAACTCAACCAACCTCTTCAGAGCAGAGTTTCGTGCTCTGAGGGTGCCAAATTCAAGTGCCAAGAGGAATGAACAGCGGATTGAGCTCTACCAGGTGCGTAAAGGTACCGTTTCCATGTCCTTCTACCAAGATCAAAGGCAAAGCTCACAGTTTCAGCCAAAATGTATCTTATGTAAGCTGGTTACTCCTTCTCCAGCCCTAATTGACAACACGAGCCAACAACAACCAGATTGTGGGCACGGGCGTGGGTAACAGCCAGACCAAAAGTCAAAAAGCTCAACAGGCCTGCAGAATATTTGCAGAACCAGGATAGGGGTATGGTTAGTGTAGCACTGACAGCCCTGATCCAGTGTGGTTCCACTTTTGGTTATGTAGAGGTCTTTAATATTTAATCCTCCATACAGTATGCACAGTCTTTTAAGCTGTTAAGAAGTGGTTCTAGTCTGCTGAGAAACAGTGCAACGCACTTTCCTAAGTCATCAATGTCATCAGGTCCTTGTTACTTTTAAAGATCAAATACAAAGATAATCAGGTTATTGTAATAAAAGATACATGTAAATAATACCACTACATGGTATATAGACTCTGGTCAGGAGTGACAGCTTGACAAACCCAAAGGACATTTTGACCTGCGTAACATCAACATTATTATGACGAGCATTGACAAGCAAGTGTTCACATTACCAGACACCTCAAGATGACAGCTTCAAACAAACTAATGGTTTGCTAAAAACATTATTAATAGCTACCATACATGAAGGTAATTTGAACAGTGTAATAACATTAACTGGTGTTATATTGGACATGCGAGGCTTAGAAATGCTCCCACGTTTGTTTGAATTAACATGATTTCACCAACAAAGATTGGCTGACTTTAGACATTCATCTAGCTTGTTTTTGCAGGCACCTCCACACTTTTCAGTTCACAGTCTGCTGTGTCAGAGGAATTTTTCTTTCAGAAAAATGGAACTTTCCCAATAATTATGGCTTGATGCCCATATATATACTTTTTAAGAGGAGAACTGGTAACTATGGTAACAAGACAAGATGTGAACGTTCACCCCCCCTGCATAATCTGTTTGCATGTTATGCTGACATCAGTTCATAGAATGATTCTTTACAAGTGCTCAAAACTCTTCTTGGATAAATGTAACAAGACATGAGTTTGACAAGTAACAGCTTCATCTCGTACCAACATCCATGTCTGTCGTCCACTCTATTTGTTCTACTTGTTTCTTGAGACTTTTTCAGGATTGAGAGAAAAGAGGGACTGTTTATTATTGCCTTGCAGATTGTGAGGCCAAATGAACACATTAGGAAACAACGCTACATTGGAGCCAAGAATGTGCTGACCAAAGGTACTCCAGAATGGGTCTCCTTCGATGTGACTGAAACAGTGCGTGAATGGCTGATGAACCGAGGTGAGACTGAGAACACTGCCATTTGTTCTTTCCAAAAGCTACTGTATCATACTCATAATGAGAATCCCATGTTTCGACTGCATTTCTCATTAAAGTATTGAGTTTTAAAAATGAAGACTGCTGACTTGGGCTTCTTTTTAGGAAAAAAAAAAAAACTTGACAATCATCTTTTCTATAATTGTTTGCCATCAGGAACCAATCTGGGTTTGGAAATCAGTGTGCACTGTCCCTGCCACACCTTCAGCCCAAATGGTGACATCATTGACAATGAGAACGAGGTGCTCGAGGTGAAGTTTAGAGGTGGGCTTCAGCAATATTATTATTTTATATTTTATGGCTGGTGTTGCTTGCTCTTTAAATCTAATGCCTGTAAATGTGTTTAAGTTTAAATGGGTCATGCTGCATGTTCATATGGTTCTTAGTTCAAGAATTCCTAGGATTTAAAATGTTATCTTTTTTTTAAATATGTCTTATAGTAATTCTGGTAAAAATCAGTTAAATACTTGCAGGTTATTTGTATATTTCTCATGCTTGGGAGTTTGGTTCAAGATGGATCGATGATTTTGTATTTATACTGAAAGTACATTGTTGCCTGATTGAACAAAGGTTCAATCAGGCTCAGAGGGCTAAGAAGAAATTTGCAATGAACATAATGAGCATGTATCTCCATCATGTCTGTAATTAAGGTGTGGATGGAGATGAGGGGCAGAGTCGCTTGGATGTGGATCCCCTTAAGAAAAAAAAGGAACAGTACCAGCCTCACCTTATCCTCATGATGATCCCACCCCACCGCCTCGATACGCGGTCCACACACCGGCGCAAGAGAGCGCTGGACACAAATTACTGTTTCTCGTAAGGGGCACGTAAATCATTTTTACCTGTAGCTGCTAGTACTTGTGAAAAGTGTTTACATGCATCACCTTAAACACATATTGAAATATCCTAAATCTGCGCTGCAGCAATATATCTGCTATTTCCCACAAGGGCCAAGAAGGTATTAAATGCCAAGAGAATGTGAAGATGTGTCTATTGTAGATGCATTGTAACAAAAACTAAATCAGACACTGATGTTGTGCATCCTTATCACAGAAACACGGAGGAGAGCTGCTGTGTTCGCAAGCTCCACATTGATTTCCGGCGTGACTTGGACTGGAAATGGATCCATGAGCCCAGTGGTTATGATGCCAACTACTGCTCTGGGCCCTGCCCTTACCTGAGGAGCTCAGATACAACACACAGCTCGGTATGAAGGACAGCAAAACACAAACATATTTTCTCATTCTAGTGATAAATGGCCAGTCGGTTAGCTTTGTTTTTATTTGTCCAGAGTTTGATGTACTGTATCTACCTCTGAGACCTATGCCTCCACTTAAAGGTCTTAATGAAACCAGATCCAAAATCAAAGATAATTAGACTTAATCCAAAATGCAGTTAAACCAAACACAGAGCAACAAGTAGATACTCAAAAACTTCCCTTCCCAGTTCACACACCGCATGTACCATGTGATCAATGCTGATAATGAGTCTGATTTCACTTGAATATTATATTAGACATACTGACACAAGACTACAAATAAATAAAGAATAAATACAATTTGGAACCGAGTTTTTCTCCCCTGTCTGCTTTCCAACAGCTGCTGAGCCTGTACAACACTCTGAATCCGGAGGCGTCGGCCGCCCCCTGCTGTGTCCCTCAAGACCTGGAACCCCTCACTATACTCTACTATTCTGGACGAACTCCCAAAGTGGAGCAGCTCTCCAACATGATAGTCAAGTCTTGCAAATGTAGCTGAGAAGACATGAAAGAAAAGATAGTGTGGCATGATTTTACTAGGTACTGATCAAACCCTTTGGACTCTTAGCTGTGACAAATACTTAAACTGACCCTGTAGCCTTGTGACTTAGATCTGAAAACCACTCTGCTGGTCACACTGTTTTCAAGGATGCAGGCTTTCTTAAAAACTTGAGGTCATTTTCTTTTTCTTGGTTTGTTTGGTTTTTCCCCCTCCCATTCAGTTAGTTCTGGATAACAAGTAGTTATTTCTTAAAAGCACCAACCCAAAATGACCATAGTCTTACTGTCAAAGTATTATCTTAAAATATTTTCTACTAGATTTGTGAAGATGGACAACACACTCCTAAGGCTAGACTGCAGGGAGGTCTGTACAGTTTGTGTGAAGAAAAAACAATGAATGAGTGAAAGAGGCTCAATTTGTGGTATATTGTCTGCTTCAGAGCTCAAGAAAATATTCCACCAAGTTACAGTTTCTACATTGTCAGTAGAGCAGCTCTGTTTCTAGTCTTGGGATGATACTGGTAATGGTCACAAATACAGACAATGCTCTGCTGAATGCTCGAATAGTCCGTTTAGGCTGGATTTTTCCTTGAACTTGCCTTAAAGTTTCCTTCCCTTCAAACAGTGGGCATTATCTTCAAACACAAAAGGAGAAAGGACAGACTTGCTGCTGTATCCAAAGCCATATCTGTGGTCAGAGAAAAGGAGAGCTGAGAGAGAATGCCTGTTGGATTTGCAATGGAAAGCGAATGAACAAAGAAGTTGAGCCAAGCTTTTCTGTTTTTGGCCAGCCAGCAGCAATGGCTTTTTTCAGTGCATCTATTAGAAGGGATGGAAGAAGAAGAAGAAGAGGGGACCTGTATGGAAGGGAATAACTATGATGGAAACTAGCCATGAGCACATTGCCATTCACTGGAAGTTTTCATCCTTAACAGGTTCAAATACTTCTTGGAACATCAAATAATATACTGGAAAAGAAGAACTGTTATGCAACAGGTTCTTATGAGGTTTCTTTTACATTAAGAGCAGATTTAGTCTGTTATGCAGCTTGTCATATAGTGACTATAGTGACTGGGAAGAAAACTGATGTGTATCTCCATGGGTGTAAACAATTAAACCATGAGTACTGTTACTTTTCCTTCTGATTTAGAAAGAATGAGCTATTTTATTTGTCTATATACTGTACAAACTAGTTTGGCCTGTTTTATTGGATATAGTGCGTCTCACTAAAGGCTTATTGTGCTAAAACTGCCAAAATACTTTTTACCAACACTTACATTATTGCCCGTTGTACGTTTGCGTACGTTGTGTTTTCTGGAGTATTAAAAACTGTATCCACTAGGGGGCAGATTAGGGGCTAATTATCCCTGGCAGGGAACAGAATATCTTCCTGCTTTTGCAAACAGTAGGTTGAACCCAAGTTCCTCTAACTGCATCCATGTTTGCCTCCTTTCCATGTTTTCCTTGTGTCTTAGTCTCACTCATGTACAATGAAAGAAAATGATGCAAGGACAGAGGAACCGAGGAAACACATTTTAACTGACATGAGACGTATTTTCCTCTTATTGTTAATGTGAAGCGGCCAATCACGAACTGATTTTAGATGAAGGGGCGTGTCAATTCGTAGAAGACTTCCATGAAGGATGCACTCAAGTATCCTTGGGCATAGCTCCTCACTCCTCGCTCCTCAGAGCAGAGCTTTTGGACATCATTTATCATGGCGGACCAGAACAACTTCAGGATTGAGGACCAAGTGATGATAAAATAAGGGAACTGGGATTCACCTAGTGTAAACAGAACAAAATGGCAACACTCCAGGTAGCTCCAACACCATTGGTGTTGTGATCATGGTAGAGGAAATGGCAGCGGCAACATAAAAAATGATATGTCAGCTGAACAAGCTCCACGAGTTTCTTTTCAAAGCGTTCAGCCATAGCGGTGGTGACACAAAACTGTTGCTAACATTACTTTCTGCCCCCACCTGTCATGTTCTGAACTGCATCTTGTGTATTGTTAATTCTGACCTGCCCAGCCAACTCTTTCACAGATCAAAGCATATGCGAGGCAGCCACGATGTGCATGCAAACGTGTAGTAAAACCAAGTATATTGCTGGCTTAAAACATTATTATCTTCAGACAGCTACATCAGAGCACTTTTCTCCAACAATAACAGGAAACACCATTTACTATGCAGTTGTTTACTTCAGTTTTAAATCATTATCATTCGCCACACTCTAGCTCTAGCTGGCAAGGAGTTGTATGTGCAGTCAGGACTCCCACAAATGCTGCAGCCTTTCAGTCCTTCTGCTCAATCTATGTTTGTTATGGTGCTCTTTTACAGTGTGAAACAATTACGAAAATGGGGGAATAGGTCATAACATGACAGTGGCTGATATAGAGTTAGACCTCATTTTTCTCTGAATCATGAGAATGACTGAATCCTTGTACTGTGTGATGTTCACCCAGTCAGAGTCATCTAGCCTTTAGGGGACATTTAGGTGACATTTTTGGCAGTAATATTGTTTTTGTTGACTTGTTGATTATGGTTGTTATTAAAAACAACATGCTAACCTGTATGAGCTCTTCGTAACCTATAAGAATCACTCCATGAAACACTCAAATGTAATAGATCTGTGAAAACATTTAACACTAAATTAGGGAATGATGACTTTACCCACTGGACTTGTCTGCCATATTGAAAAGCCATTTAAAATGGTATTTTCTCAATGTTTTGGTTCCATACAAACACAATTTTATTTGAATCTCACCAGCCCCACCTGTTTCCTGCAGGTGCATGCAAAGGCTTTTATTTTAATTTTTTTTCCTTAGCCAGAGCAATAAATTTAACTTCTTGCATTCAGGGAATGCTGCTTGCTTTCAGGCAAAAAGCAACTACTCTTATTATAGAGCATTTTAATATGCAGGCATTTCTTTATTTTCTTATTTTTCATGTCATGGTTAGCATAAATCACACATAAACCTGGGAAATGCATTTGTTACCATGTCCAAAATTACTTTTTTATTTATTAAACTATTATTCCTGTATTTCACAATAACAGGTTTATTAGGAGTGTAGAACATGAGACTTTTATTAATAACTTATCAACAATTAAACTACAAACCTAACATTCTATTTAGATTTAGCAAATTTGATGGATTGTATATTATAGTAATTTATAATGTATTAATACATTTTCATGAAGATGAAAACCATACTGGTCTTATATATGGACTGCACAGTTGCACAGATTTCAGGGGTGCTGGGTTGAGCTAATGTGGACTGACAAGTAGTCAGAGAGAATTCCTTTTCTGTGTGTGTTCGTCATTGTTCCCTGTCACACCCAATCAGAGATGGACCATGATGAGAACACAAAGACCAGAGGGCATGATGGGGTCTAAAAACAGGGGTCTGGGATTTAATGGCTTTGCGGACAGCCCTGTCCTAACAAACACACATTACTGGCAAAGAGCAGCTGTACCCCATGCATGGTTGCCTTCTAACCTTCAGTAAAAGTCACTTTCTTATTCATTAGTCCCTGCTAGAAACCAAGGTTCTCATAGGCTTATTATTACAAACACCAAATGCTCTGCAGCTACAGTTCCCTGTTTACTTCTTCAAGTCAGTAAATGCAACTAAAACTGGGTGATTATCCACTCCAAGTAAGAGTATAATCATACAGCTGATTCTTTTCTCATGTCGCCTAATGGAAGCAGGCTGAGGACTCAGTGAGGCCTTTGCTAACAGCAGGCAGCGGCTTGATTTAAGTCTTGTAAGGAGTCATTTTGACTTACTATATGTAGCAGCAAAACACCACCCAGACAGCAAAAAGACATACAGTAAAGTTTATAGTGCAGTGATAAAATGTGCTCATCAAATGTGAGACTGGTTGTCTTGATATACACTCACCGGCCACTTTAATAGGTACACCTGTACAATTGTATGCACTTCAATGCAACATTTCTGCCTTAACAGCAGTGTTTTATGAAGCTCAGAATGTTTCTATTTTTATGAAATTGTCATAAATGCATCACTTCAATTATATGGTCATTATTGAGATCATAATTAAAGGTGGTATACTGGACTACATTATATTCAGAGGTGTTCTTGATATTCTGACCTTCTCGTGTATGCAGCTGGGGAGGACAAAAATATAGAGACACCTCTGAATATAATGTAGTCTAGTACAATGCCACCTTTATCTATGATCTCAATAATAACCATACAACATGACAATATTTAGTAGCTGTTGAATAGTTCATAAGTCGCACCACCTAAATACAACCAACACAAACGTCAGTAGGGGCTATCATTCTGTCTGCTTATCTTGCTTCTTCTCTTGCATATGCCTCTTGAAAACCATTTAAAGAATTATTTGGATTCTGTTGAACCTTCATCTATAACCCCAAATCAGAAAAAGTTGGGACAGTATGTAAAATCAAAATTAAAACTGAAAATAGTGATTTGTAAATCATCTGTGTCCTGTATAAAACAATGCAGCAGCACATTCAATCCTGATGCAACACATTCAAGGAAAAGTTGGGACAGTTGCATTTCAGGGACAATAATGAGGTAAAACAATGAAATGATGGTTCCATTTGAAACAGGTGTCGTCAACAGGTGGATGCATCATGATTTGGTATGAAAGTGGCATCTAGGAAAGGCCGAGCCCATTAGGAGCAAAGATGGGCTGAGGATCGCCAATTTGTCAACATATGTTTGAGATAATTATTGAAATGTTTACAATATTCCTCAAAGAAAGATAGGAAGGGTTTTGGAGGTTACCTTTTATGGTGCAGAATATCATTATAAGATTCAAGGGATCTGGAGGGACTTCAGTGCATAAGGGACAAGGGCCAAGCCTAAGTTGGATGACCATGCTCTCTGATCCCTCAGATGGCACTGCATCAAGAATCGTCATTCTTCTATAAGCGATATAACCACATGGGCTCAAGGTGACTTTGGCACCCCTGTATCAGGCACTACAATATGTAGTTACATCCATAAATGCCACTTAAAACTATACTGTGCCCAAAGGAAGCCCGATGTCAACAGTGTCCAGAGGTGCAGTCGACAGCTCTGGGCTCAGAGGCATCTGGGATGGACCATCACACAGAAGAAACATGTATTGTAGTCAGATGAATCAGTATTTCAGGTCTTTTCTGGAAGGAATGATGCCATGTGCTCTGGACCAAAGACGAAAACTGAAAGGAATGACGCCATGTGCTCTGGACCAAAGACGAAAAGGACCATCCAGACTGTTACCAGCAACATGTCCAAAAGCCAGGGTCTGTAATGGTCTGGGGTTGTGTCAGTGCCCTTGGCAAAGGTAACTTACACTTCAGTGCTGGACTATCCTGCCTGCAGTCCCGACCTGTCCCCAGTAGAGAATGTGTGGCGCATTTTGAAATGCATATTGCGTCAGTGAAGACCCAGGACTGTTGTGCACCTTAAGACTTGTTTGCGGGAAGAACAGGACGAAATTACACCTGACACACTTAATCACTTGGTGTCCTCAGTCTCTAAACATTGTTTAAGTGTTGTGAAAAGGAACAGCAACATCACACCTGGTAAATGCTTTACTGCCCCAACTTTGTTGGAATGTGTTGCAGCATCAGAACTGAAGTGAGTGTTTACTTTGAACAAAGAATAAACCTGATGAGGTATCACATCACATAATGTGCTGCTGCATTGTTTTCAGTGTAATACAGGACAAAGATGATTTACAAATCACAATTTTCAGTTTAAATTTTGATTTTACATACCGTCCCAACTTTTTCTGATTTGAGGTTGTAGTTTTAGGGGAAAATTACGGTTGATTGTGGTTCGAAGATGCAGACAAGAACACAGTTTGCTCCTGAAGGGGTCAAACTTACCAACTGAACTTCAAACCTGCAATAATCCTATTTTCAGTTCGCTGCTACTGGATAAGCGAGTCATTATCTGATTCAAGTTCAGGGTCCACTTCTGGGCTGGAGTCTGACTTTCTCAGAACTTGTGCTCTTCCACGACTTACAAATGATGAATTGCATGACACATAAATGCACAGAGGTTTGGAAAACTCTGTCTGCTGCTATTCCCTGAGCAGATTAACAGATGTGGAGGGAGGAAAAAAATGAGAGGGGGAAGTGAGAGACAGAGACAGAGAGGGAAGTGAGAGTGAGTGAGAGTGAGAGAGAGAGAGAGAGAATCCTTAACAGCACTGTTGCTGCAGTAAAATCATCAGGTCACATCAGACCAGTTCTCAGGCCCCAGGGTGGAAAGAGTTGTGTAATTCAGCAATGGGAAGCGCACACACACACACATATATGTCAAAGCAGCGGCCATAGTTACTGGAAAAGAGTGAAGGGGTGAACAAATATGTAAACACATATCAACTTCATAGACCTTTATAGCTAAACAAATGAATGGGAGATCTGGATCAAACTACAGCTTTATATTACAGCAGAGTGTGTGTTTCCATGACAGTATTCCAGTAGTAGAGAGATGGCGTGTGCACATGAGACAGAGAGAGTGGGAGAGAAATTATGAGAGATAGAGACAAAGTGAAAGTATGATTTGCACACCCTTTACTCTGGGAAGAAACAAGCAACTTGCAAATGCAAGTTTGAATTATATATGTGTAGTGAACTGCTGGTTTAGAGACAGAAAGAATATATATATAATTTGCATCGATGAGGTGCCAGAAAGGCAAAAGTGGCCCTGAAATGTGAGTGTGTAACTTCTGAAATAACAGAAGCACAGGCTTCCTCCTTCAAAAGCTGAATTACTAAGCAATACAACACAGCCTTGCTTAATTCACTACATTTATGTTCTAAGGCTGAATTGAGCCCAGTGTGGAAATAAAGCCGGTATGTCAACTTAGGGGTCTGCCAATGCTCAGGGTTGTCCAAAAAAGTTCAACCAGGTTCAAATGGTGCCTCAATGCATTGTCATCCATCAAGAGGCTGCATTAGCTAGTCATATACAAGCACGTGGTCCAAATGGGTTAATATATAACATGAACACTGTACTTCTACTGATTACCTTCTGATTGTTGCAGTAGAAAAATAGATACTAAGTTTCCACAGTTATAAAATCCTTTATTGAACACATTTAGGGCAAGACACTGAACCCCCCCCGTTGCCCCCGATGGTTAGAGCCATCGGTTGAGTTGGCACCGCAGATGGCTGCCATCGGTTCTGTACCGGAAAAAATTCCTTGTGTGTAACATACTTGGCCAATAAAGGTGATTATCCTTATCCTTATTTGTTTAAATGCAGGGCTGTTTTTGGTGTGAATACCCGCTTATGGGTTTTGTTTGAGACAGTTTATTATGACCAAGTGTAACGTGTTAGGTGTAGGCAACCTCAACTGTGGCTCAGTGGGTAGAGCAATTGTCTCCCAACCGGATGGTCGGACGTTCAAATCTTGATGCCTGCAGTCCACATGTTGAAGTGTCCTCAGGTAAGACACTGAACACCCAAGTTGCCCCTGATGGTTAGAGCCATCGGTTGAGTTGGCACCAGAGATGGCTACCTCAGTTCTGTACCGGAAACAAATTCCTTGTGTGTACCATACTTCGCTGAATAAAGGT